AAAAAAAAAAAAAAAAAACAAAAAGGAGCCCAAAAGACAAGGGAAAGGCCTGGTCAGAAGCTGGGTCCAGGGGTTCCCAATGCTTTGAAAATACCCCATGTCTTCTCATTAGTCTTTGAAAAATATACCCCACACAGCAGAAAAACTTTGTTTCTCCCCCGCCCCCAACCAAGAAACACAAGGGAGCAGGATCACCAGATTTGAGTGGAGCTAGGATGTGAAAGAGGGGTGTCAGGTGGGGATGCAGGGTGGGACCTACCTGTGCTGTTCCACAGCCTCATTGTCAGGCAGCTCCACCCCGCACACACTGCACTGCTCCCCAAGGGGCCGACTCTCTGACTTCATGCCCACTGCCAGCTCACCCAGCTTGCTGAACAGCTCCCTCTGGATGAAGCCCTGCGGCAGCAGGCCCCCATAGGTGCTGAAGTCCATGGAGACAGCCAAGGCAGGCTGCACGTGCAGGCCAGAGGTCACTGAAGACGGCATGCTCAACACAGCATCAGCCTTATGGTTGGGCAACACAGAGTAGATCCCCAGATGTTTCTCTGCTGGGGGGACTGGGGGGACTGGGGGTTCTGGGCGGCCAGGGGGGCCCTGGCCGGCCTCAGCTAGGGGTGGCAGCTGTTCAGCACTCTCCTCTCGCCCATAGTGCAGCTCCCTAGCACTGGTGATGACACTGCTTCGAGTTGGTGTCCCGGGCCCCTCTTTGCCCCTTTCTTCTACCTTGTCCCCCATCCCTCCTGAGATGCTGGACTCAGCTGCCCCAGGACTGTCCTGGCCAGGTACCTCATCCACCTGCATCATCTCCGTCTTTACTTCAACCACCCCAGGGTGCCGTCCACTCCCAGCCAGCATTGGCTCCTCTGGCCCTGCAGGTGACTGAAGAGTTCCCTGCAAGAGAGACTGTCCTATGGTCATCAAGCTGTCCACTGCAGCCTTGGTGGGACTCATGGCTGAGAGACCAAATGAGGTGGAAACTGAAGGGCTCTGGTCCACCATGGGCCCAGGAAGGCTCTGTCCAGCCACACTGGCATACCCACTCTCCTCACTGGAATGTTTTGAGAGGAAGATGTTCTTGAGGTACCGAGCCTTGCGGTCCTCTTCTTCCTCGGCCCCACCATCAGCCATGGTGGCCTCTGTGTCATTGTCATCTGAGGCCTGGATTGTCTCCAGGATCTTCAGGCACTGCTCTTCCAGATACTCAATCTCCAGGATCTCAGCTGCATACAGCAAGTCATCCAGGTCCTCCGCCTTGGCTTGCAGTGTGGCCGTGTACGCATACTCCAGAATCTGCTGGAAGGTCTTTGGCGAGAGGAAGTCCAGGGTATAGTGCTGACTGTTACGGTGAAAGAGGATTTCAAACATCTTGCTGGTGCAGGCCAGCACTGTCCGGTGGGCGTGAAACTCCTGGCTATCTACCATAATGACCACATCACACAAAGTCCCAGCCAGTCGCATCTGGTTGGCCTTGCACAGCAGCCCCGTAGGGTGGCTGGGGTTTTGCAGCTGGATCATGCCCATCTTTGTCAGATCCATGGTGCTCCCCTCGGTTCAGGCATGGGGCTTTCTTTCTTTCTGTGCTCTGCGTGGTAGGGCAGGGTGGGCTTCCTGGGCCAATAGAGGGAACTGGAGAAGAGAAAAGAAAAAGAAGCACAAAAGATGAGAAAACAAATTACAGATTCATTAATGTTTCTAAAAGAATTCAAATACTATAACATGTTCCTACCCCACCAAGCTCCCAGCAAGAGGGTCTTAAAAACTGTAACAGAAGAAGCTTCCCAGAAATCTACAAATCTGCCTTTAGGAATGCAGGGATGATAAGAGTAAGAGAAGGTTCTCCTATCAACATATGCTTAATTTCCAGCTCTCTAGCATCTGTTGAAATAAGTGAAATGAAAATCAGTGAGTCTTAAGCATTCTTTTTTTTGTTACCAGTATCAAACTCAGAATCTTGCACAGTTTTGAGGCAGGTGTGGTGCCACTGTGCTAAATCTCCAGCCCTAAATCTGTGACAACAGGGAGTCTCTTCACAAGGCTCACATTCCTTACGAAGAGGTGCCCAGGCGCTTACTTCCTTCAGTCAACTTAAGCATTCAACTTCCCTCTGAATCCCTGCACAGCAAACCTCATCTTCAAAACAGAGTTTTTCTGACTCTGCTTCATTACTGCAGCCCCAGGAGCCACGTCAAATTCAACTAGAACTAGCAGCCTGCAATCATAGCCACAAAAACTTATAAGCAACTTATGAAGCACCTTCCTGGGCCTTGAACTTTCACTATAATCAGAGCTACAAAGCAGTGACAGATCCATGCCCTGCTCCTCTCTGTCCTCAGAAGAATCGGGAACACATACACATTACTCATCTAATTTGGGTCACCCTTACTCACAGGTGTCTCTAAATCATTGATATATAATGCAGAATCTGAATTGTGTGTGTATCCACCAACCAGAAAGACCATGTTACACGCCTGTATATATTTACATAAGATGCTGCACTAACCCTTCCTGCCCACAAGAGCCCAGTGGACAGAAGGACCTAAAATGTAAAAGAGGCTAGGTCATACGGCAGGGAGAGATAACAGGAAATGTGTTCCCCTACAGCCAGGAATGCTCCTGCTGAGCTGGATGTGAACTCCAGTGTATCCCACAGGCTCCCAGAAGTTGGCAAGTCCTATGACCAGAAGCAGCAATTGATGCTGGATATGGTTCAGAGGCACTGGTAGTAGTTATACTGGCACCAGTATACATGGTGTGAATTAGAACCAGCTTGAGAGGAAGACAGGGCTAGGAGACAAAAGCCTCTCTCAGAGCTTGCTCTGAATCAGTAAGAGGGCTCTGGGGCTCCGAACCTGCTTCAGAACTGACAGACTGCATGGCCACAAATCCCTCCAAGCCTCTGCCTTGCTGGGACCGCTACCACTGGCCCAGATGGATGAAACAAGGGCTATTCCTCATTCTTCACACTCCATGCCTCCACCTCAAAAGGACCCCTATTGGTTTCAGAGCGACAAAGCTCACGCAGAAAGGGTTAACAGGATGGCTAATCTAGACACTTCTGCTGTCCACCCTGAGGACCAATGCCATCAAGGATGAGCTGAATGTTCATCCTGCTCCTCACCACCGTGAGCTTTTCTGCAGACACCAGAGTTCAGAGAACTAAGAAAGGAAAACCAAAAGAATATAGCGTTGGCTATTCAAATTCCTGACCCAGAACAAGCCTTTTAGGTCCTGAGAGGAATCAGGGTGTCCTAGAAGCCATCCCCGCCACGCGGTGCAATGCCAGAGATCCGGCGGGCGCTGGTTGCAGCGCTCTGCCCCGCGGCGCTGGAGAAGCCGGTGCTAACTCGCCAGAGCTCCGGGATCGATCGCGCGCTCACACAGCCCTAGTTCCCAGAGACCCCCATCGAGACTTGGAGACTTCGGCAAACTTGAAGAAGCAACTTTTCCCAGGGAGCCAGACGCCTGGAAAGAAAGGGGGCCAAACTAGGAAAAAGGAAACGCGAAAGAAACCGGTCAAAAAGCGAGCGTCCAGCAGGCTGGACGCTGCCGCAAGGGAGGTAAAGCGGCGGACCCGGCCCGCGGAAAAGGAAAAACACAAAAGCCATGCAACCAGTTGCAGTAGGAAAGGCGAGAAGTCTGCGGGCCCTCCCTCTCCGACCCAGGGCCGTGACCCCCGGGAAGCGACCGGCAGGGTTCCTGGCCTCTGGCCCGCGGCGCCAGTTGTCCGTGCGCCGGTGCCTTGCACGTTGCGAGCGTCCAGGAGAGGCTGCGAGCTAGTCGGCGCAGGGAGCGACTGTATTTCAGCTGGTCTGCAGGCAAACACTACAGTGAGGATTTCAAGCGCGTGCGAGAGTGTGCCAGACGCCGTGCGAGCGAGCTGCCGGCGCGCCAGGGTAGGAAAGGCATCCCGAACGCATCAGGTGCAGAGCCCGGGCACCCACCGCGCGCGGCCAAGGGCGCACGGCGAGCTCCGGCGCCACGGCCGGTCCCACTGAGAGCCGAGGAGGGCCTGGGGCGCTGGAGACTCCCGGAGCTTTTCTACCACCTCCAAAAGGGGGATCGAGTCCAATTAAGAAAAAGAGCCCATCACGTTTCTTCAAAGAGAAACAAAACCCAAGCTAGTTCCAGTCCTGCTCCCCTCGGCCCCTAGAGCCACTCGCCAGTTCCTCGCATTCTAGCTTCCCAGCCGGCCAGTGAATCAACACACAAATAAGAAAGCACAGCCCTATCTCACGCGCGCGCACCGGTCCGCATACATATGAGCACCCACCGGTTCTCGGCTGCTCCACCGGGCCTTTGGCTGTACAAAGCCTCCCCACCCTGACCCTCGGCTCGCGCCCTCGGCCTCGGCCGACCGCGCTGCCTCCCACCTCTCCCCCGGACTGTGCCCGGGAGAGGAAGGGTTGGGAGGCAGCTGCGCCCAAGCTGACAGCCGGGTTCCCCTTCTAGCTGA